AAACCCTAACTCAGATTTTTTGGGCAGCACGAGAAATTTGGGCAAAGCTAGTTTTTAAAGAAGCTTACATGTGTCTGTGCATTTTTTTTCGAAGAGATATTTTCTGTTTCAACCTGAAGTCAGCGTTGTAAATAGGCTCGATTTCCACCGTCTCCCAGGTCCGGTCTTTGATCTTCCCTGTCGGGAGGATGAGTGCGGGCTCATTTTCCCGAACAGTGACTGGTAATCGAGCCTACGTTGTAAAGCCAGTTAAATTCACACGAGACATGGTTGCCTAGCACGTGATCACTTTCTGATTATTTTTTAAGGGGATCATCTATTGATATATATACATATTTGTAATTTTGTTGTTTGGCACTGTGCTGCACTGCACTAGTTAGTGTGGGGAATTTCCAGTCGTGAATTAATTAAATACAATTTCGGCATAACTTTCTAGAATCATATTGAAGATTATCTGCTGGAGACTCTCAGAAGATCTGAGTCACGTGCTCGGCAACCTCCGTCTCGCGTGAATTTAACTGGCTTTATTACGGCCTCTTTGGCGTAAAGCCAGCGAAATTCACGCCCGTAGTTTTTAAAAAAATTACGCGACAGTGGAAACAAATACGAACCTTATGTAAGTTTTTTTTTGTGTAAAACTCGCCTTATGCCATATTAGACATGTCGAATCCAGCCCCACAAAAACGTAAGTGGGCCTATCGCCATCGCGTTACCTGTTCCGAATGTAAAAAAGAAATCGTTGCTGAGTACCAAGACGCTCATGAAAGAACCAAGCGTATAGGCAAGAGAGTTAAATTTACTGTTTCTCGTACGCCAAATCAATCAGAACTGGGTTTCATCGACGGCGATGAAACAATAAATATCCTTAAATACAGTAAAATCGACGCCGAAGACGTTGGCTCAGATCTTCCGAATGACAACAGTACGCAATATATGGATGTCGGTGTAACAGAAAGACTTGGATCGTACCATTGATATATTTGGCCGTCGAAATGGCAGAGACAGCTATTTCTTTTAACTTGATTTATATGTACGCCTACGTTAGTGTATCAAATGACGACTGTTTCGTAAAAAATTTGGCAACTTGCGAGAAATTTTTGCGCAAATGGTTCACCGCCCCCCCCCTGGCAAAAAATTGCCCGCACGCGTATGGTGAGAATACTGAAAAAAAAAAATGCCATTGGTGGAAAAATCTTGGCCGAGGGAAATTCCTAAGGAAGAGAAATAGACTCCAACTTGAGTCGATTCTGCATCTTCAACTTGCATCCCAAAATATTTTATAACATATTTCCAAATTTACTCATGCGAAGTCCAATACGTTTATTGTTGGTTCGAAAACTATGTCATAGTGAGCTAAACCAAAGGGTTACTCCGGTACGTTCCTGGGATCGCAGAAAAATATTTACTGTAAAATTTTTTTTTTCTAGGTTTTTGCACGGCCATTCCCTACGCAGGACCCTGGGGATTTGGAAACACGTTAGTTACCTCTTTAATAATAATAATAATAATAACAATAATAATAATAAATTTCTAGAGCGCCCTTTCCTATGGGTCCAAAGGCGCTATTTACAAAGTCAGTGTTG